TGCCATTTGCCTGCTACTATGAACATCACATATTCCACCTCCTGCCTCCAAAGGATATTGACATAGCCTTTATATACATTGAATTTGCAGGTGACACAAAGCTGGAAGGGATAGTTAACACATTTGATTATGGAAACAGGATTCAAAAAAAAAAATCCAGACAAGCTAGAACACTGAGGTATAATGAAATTTGATAAGGATAAATGCAAATTCTTACATTTGCATTCAAAAGAACAAATTCACTAATAAGAAGACACTGGTTTCAGTAAAAAAAAAAAAGCTCAAAGAGTCAACAAGTTGATGCTATGGCTAAATTGCCAAAGCAGTCTTAGGCTGCATCAAGAGAGGAATAGTGCCTGGCACTGCCCATATCACTGGGAGGTGGTACTGCACTCTGACCTGGTCAGACCACAATTGTGTTCAGTCTCTGAGGCAAGCAGGGCAGGGCAGGTCAACATGAACTTACTAAGAGCTTACTATGCCCAGGCACTGTGACAAGCCCTGGAAATACAGATGTGAGGAAAAATAAAGACAGCACCTGCTCTCTAAGAGCTTTCATTCTAACGGGGGCTGAAAAGGGTGAGAAGGGTGAAGGTACATAAGAGGGGAGGAGGGGGAGCATTACAGAGAAAGACCTGGGACAGTCGGGGAAAGGGCAATCCGAACAAGAATAAAGACGAAGCTGGCTTGAGGCTCCACCCTAAAATGGAGGAGGAACCAATCAATCAGAAGGAAAGGCTGCAGGGACAGAAAGTACTTTCCATGGGTGAGAAGCCCAGGGATGGAGTTAGTTTTCTGGGTGCAGAGGCTGCTAGGTGGCAGAATGAATAATGTTGAGCTTGGAGTAAGGAAGACGAGTTCAAATTGTGCCTCTTCTTGTTGAGTCATTTTTCAGTCCTGTCTGATTCTTTGTGCCCACTTTTGGGGTTTTCTCTGCAAAGATTCTGGAGTGGTTGGTCACTTCCTTCTGACTATCTTACAGATGAAGAAACTAAGGAAAACAGGGTTGAGTGACTTGCCCCAAGGTCACAAAGTTAGTATCTGAGGCTGGATTTGAACTCAGGAAGAGGAGTCTTCCTGACTCCAGACCCAGAACTCTATCCACTGAGCCACTCTGGGGCAAGTCTCAGTTTCCTCACTTGTAAAATGGGAATATAATAATAACACCACCCAACTCACAGGGTCATTGTGAGGATTAAATGAGATAATATACACAAAGTGCATTGTAAACTCTAAGGCACTATACAAATGCTAGTTATTATTTTTATTATCATTATTCTCTGTGCCAGTTTTAGGAAGGATATTGCTAAGCTGGGGAGGGTCTAGGAGAAGACAGTGGTCAAAGGTAAAGGATCTCAAGATCATGCTATATGAGGACTGGCTGAAGAAAGCAGGGATGTTTATCCTAGAAAAGAGAACATTTGGTAAATGGGTGGAGAAGGGGGAGCAAGGTAAGGAGAGACGTGGTAATTGTCTTTAAGAATTTTGCAGAGCTGTCACTTGGAAGAAGGATTAAACCTATTCTGCTGGACCCCAAAGGGCAGAACCAGAAGCACTGTCCAACAATTTAAGGGAAAATGAGTTATCTCTAAGATTCTCTTTTGCTGGAGGTCTGCGTGCAAACTTTGTATAACTACTTATTATATATGTTATACAGTGGATCCTTGTCTAAGTGGGCCATCGCCACTCATCTTGACTTTCATCTTGCCACTTGACTCCAATGACTCTAGAGCAGAGACAAAGGCTGGTGACTTTGTGAAGCTCTGTCTCACTTAAATCCAATTCATATGCAAGTGAAGACTCACCTTCCTGATGTCACTGATCCTTTTCCAGAGCAAGGTTGTTCCAGAAAAACAAGCAAGGTTTTGGGTAGATGACCTCAGTGATGTCTTCCACCTCTGAGATCCTGTGTTCCTTATTCTGACCCTCCCTTCACCAAACTAACATGATTCTTCCTATTATGGATCTCCAGTGAAGACTATTTAAATATATTCTCCTCACGATCGAGTAATGATGGAGACTTCAGTTATCCAGACATCTACTGATGCTTGCTCTCTCGCTTGCGCTCTCGCTCTCTCTCTCTCTCTCTCTCTCTCTCTCTCTCTCTCTCTCTCTCTCTCTCTCTGCCAAGTGCTGAGAAGTAGATAAAGTCTAACAGTTGGATTAAAAAAAATCCCAGTCACAAGGACAGAGTGGAGCAGCATGGTTAGACAGCAGTTTGTCTGAGAGGGAGCTGAAGGTTTTAGTGACTTACAACTTGCACATAAGTTAGCATTGTGACAGGGCAGCAAAAAACTTAAATGTGATTTTGGAATATATTAAGAAAAGCATAACTTCCAGGAACAGGGAGGCAGTCCCACTGTACTGAGCTGTCAGTTCATTTCTGGGTGCTACAGTTTAAGAAGGATGTTAATAAGCTAGAAAGGGTCCAGAGGAAGGCAACGAAGATGGCAAAGAGCCTTAAGTCCATGTCATATGAAGACTAACTAAAGTAACGAGGGATGATTAGCCTGGAGAAGTGATAGCTCAGGGGCAATGTGATGACTGTTTTAAGGGGGGGGGGTGTCACATGGAAGATGAATTAGATGTGTTTTCCTTCCAGTGAGCAAAATCAAGAGCAGTGGGTTACATGATGCGAAGAGGTGAAATTAGTCTGGATGTCAGGGAAAACTTGGTAGCAATTAGATCTGTTCAAGAGTAGAATGGGCTCCAACAGGAGGTAGTCATTGTAAGTCTTCAATCTGAGGCTAGATAATTACTAGGCTGGTACTGTCTCTTGTAGTGAGGATTCCTTTTCTGATTGTTATCGGTCCTTCGTTTTCAAAGAGGACCAATGACAACATAATGGAGATGTCTTGTCTTTCCCCCAAGAACTGGATTTAAGGGAGGCAGAGTTGCATGAAGTCCTCAGCCTCACTCTCTCTTCCAGATTCATCAAAGTCCAGCGGTGAAACAAAAGTCAATACTGACAATGGCCTGGGATGCAGTGGATGATCTTGCTGTCTTCAATGTGTGACCAAGCTCAAAGCCTCTACAGCGCCTACTTCAGCCACTTTTATGGCCTTTGGGGGCTTTTGTTTGTTTGTTTGTTTTAGGCAATTCGGGTTAAGTGACTTGCCCAGGGTCACACAGCTAGTAAGTAAAGTGTTTGGTCTGAGGCTGGATTTGAACTCAGGTCCTCCTGACTTTAGGGCCAGTGCTCTATCCACTGTTCTACCTAGCTGACCCTTTTTGTTTTTGTTTTTTTTTTCAACAAGGGCAGTCTTCACATGCTTAGGCAGACATCCCCCTAACTCACCGAAGGGTCTGATGCCTGTCAGTTACCCTCAACCTCAATTAGCCCATTTGCTCAGATGGTTTTACTGGGGTGTGGCCATTGTGCATACTACAGTTTCTTGGAGCCACAGGTGAGAGTTGAGTGACAGGTGGACACCAAAAGTGGATGAGCAGCCCTGAAAAGTGCTCAGCAAACCTTCATGCTAAAGGCTAGTCCTCTCTGAACACCTCAATACACCCCTTTTCAGATAGAGATGGACTGAATAACTACAGGCAGTTAGGTGGCCCAGCAGAGTACAGATATGGAGTAAGGAAGACTTCAGTTAAAAATCTTTCCTCAAACACTAACTGTATGGTCCTGGGCAAGTCACTTAACATCTCTTCAACCTCAGTTACCTCATGTGTAAAATGGGAATAATAATAATAGAACCTGTCTCACAGGGTTGTTGTGAAGATCAAGTGAGCTAACATTCATAAGGGTACTTTGCAGACCTTAAAGCACTATATAAACGTCAGCTATAATTTTTATTATGCCAAATGAAGCCCTTTCTAACTCATAAATTCTGATTATTTTATGACGCTAATTATATTTTATCCTACAGCAAGAATCATTTGTTTATATGCCTTGTTTTTTATTTAACAGAATATGAGCTCCTTTCAGTAATGAACTATGTCTTACTCAAGTCACTGGGAAAAACATATGTGTGTATGTGTGTATACATATGTATATGTGTATGTATAGATATAGATATGGATATATCACAATTGCCCAGCCCAGTTCTTTGTCTGTTATAGATACTCAATAAATATTTGCTAAATTTTCAACCCCAGTATTGACCTTAGATGACATTTTATATTACAACTAAATAGTTTAGGATTTTGTATTGAATTTATGTAAATTCTAGGATCCCAACTAAACTATAATGTTATATCTTTTCATTTCCATCTTCTGCTACTGTTACTTTTATAATCCTAGTTTTCAGTGTAGTTGGAAATTAACTTTTGAGGATAGTTTAAGGGAAGAATTTGTGTGTGGGATCCCTATATGTGACCATGTCATCTCAAAGCTCAGCCTTTTACTTTCCTTACATTTCCAGTATAAACACAGGGAGTCATACCCATTTTCTTTGTCTACAACTCCACAGATGTTTTGTGAGCAGGCTGGAGATTTTTAACCAAAAATGAATCATAAAAAAAATATTTAAAGGGCTATCCAGATAAAGATGTGACAAAACAAAGACCTTGCTTGTTTGTAAATCATGAATATAGAGAAGAATATAGACAATAATCTTGAAAAATAACTCTTCATGGAGCCAGTAAATGGTGGTGCCACAAACAGCGATTCAGAGATCAGAGTTCAGTTTATGCACAAGGAAGTGGTTCTATATTACTCTGCAGGTGAGGACACCCTGTTAAGTGTATTCAGTTACATTGTCACTCATTAACCCGGATTATTCTCCACCAAGAAATGATCAAAGATTGCAAAGTTCAGTTCACTGAGAAATTTAAGGCAGTCTTAACTTATCTCCAAGAGAAAAGAAAGAATTCAGTAAAAGCTACTATGAGAATAAAAGGAATAATATTTCCCCAAAAAGGTGGGGTGGGGAGAAAGGGGCAGGAGATGGGGACTGACAGGGAGACAATGAAGGAAGGAAATGCTATCCTTTTTTAGATATTTTAATGTTAAACATGATACGTTTAAAAAATATTTCCCCAAAACATACCTATTTTATTGAATGCTTCTTGAAGTTCTTCCAACTCTTCCCGCGAAATGGTAGTTGTATTATTTTCCATCTTTGAACAACAGAAGTTGTTGCTTTCTATGCTTTAGATCTAGAATAAACAAAGTCGTTAAAAAGAAAATCAGGCCCTTTGGAATCTTTTAAGACACAGGCAAAGGTAAGCCCTTCAAAAAAAACCAAAACATACAGGATTACCCAAATAAGCAATACACATAAATTAGTCCTTGAGTGCACTATACTGTCCCAATAAGGTCCACTGAAATAACAACTTCATCTGAAAACTACCTTACCATTTATCAACTCTGACCATTCTCTGACCATTTATCCAATAGGGAATTACTTGGAGTCTTATAAATTTGATTCAGGTCTCTATAAATTTGAGAAATCAAGCTTTTATCAGAGAAACTTGGTGTAAATATTTTTCCTCCATTTTCTGCTTTCCTTCTAATCTTGGCTGCATTGGTTTTGTTTGTGCAAAATCTTTTTAATTTAATGTAATCAAAATTATCCATTTTAAATTCCATAATGCTCTCTATCACGTTTGGTCACAAATTCTGCCCTTAACCATAGATCTGACAGATAAACTATTCCATGCTCCCCTAATTCGCTTATGCTATCATCTTTTTTGTCTAAGTCATGTGATCTTATCTTGGTATGTAAACATGCATTTTTAAGTTTCAGTAAACTAAAGCATAGCATTTACAAATGCAACAGACAAGGTCAGAAATGAAAACTTGATATATTTTCTCATTTAAATTTAAAATAAGACTTTCCAAACATCAGCAAGTTAAAAGATGTGCTAGTTCTGCATCACTTCACAGTACATTGGATTCTATGTTGTTTTAATCTCCAGATTTTCAAAATATTGCCACATTCCAATGATCTCCAATAGCTTTTAGTTCATTAATGGTCTCCATCATTTTCCCTCAATTGTCTTTGGCTCTGTATTTCCCCTGCCTTTGTTAGAATTTTCTAGTATAAGCTATCTGATTCAATGACAACAAGCAGTATGATAACAAAGAAGACATGTGTGAGTAGGTAGAAGCAATGCCACGGTAGTTTTAAAATTATACAGGAATAGTATAACTGTCCAGTCATTATAAGGATTTGCCATCTATTGAGTTTGTCTCTTGTGAGTCCATAGATACTTACATGTTGCCTTCCCCATTAGACTGTGAGGATCCTTGAGAAAAAGGACTGTTTTAGACTTTCTTCCTAATCCCAGTGACACATAGTAGGTGCTTAATAAATGCTTGTTGACTAACTTGCAATAAATCATACACACTTCTTCACATGGCCTTTCCCAGCATTTAACACAGTGCCTGGCACATAGTAGATGCTTAGTAAATGTTTACCAATTGATTTCTCCTACTACCCACCTCAGGAAAAAGAAGAAAACTGAAATTAAGTGGAAAGGCCTCTTTACTGGAGTCTGCCTCTTGCCCCTAAATATTTTAAATTCTTCAGTGAAACATATCAACGTTCCATTTTATTAGTCAATGAAATTTAGAAAGGAACATCTTGTAAAATTTAATAAGTCATTGTTTTTCCTCTCAAATACATCCTAGGGCATGTTTCTAATTAATTGCACATTAACTGTCTCTCAGTTCTGAAATACTGTATGCAGCCCATTGGTTGCTCCTATTTGTTTAAGTAACACCTTAATTCAAATACAACCTCAGAAATCATCCCAAGTATTTCAGGTCAACAGAACAGGAGAAAAGGTGGGAAGAACTGAGGAGGAGAGGGGTAAATGGAGCTTTCTTTATTCCACAGATATACATTATTTTGTTTTACGGAGAAAAAAATGCCTCTCTCCCTTGGATAGAAGCCTCATCCCATTTAGTAAGTTCTTCCCACCTTTGAAAGCATTGTAGTGATGTTACTGCTGTGCTGCAAACTGTTAGTGCCAACCTCTTGGATTTTCCCTGGGTCTTGAAAATGCTAATTCTGTTCCTGTCAGCTTTGAATCTTTGTGGTTTGGGCCTTCCTGAATATACTTTACTACCTTCAAAATAGTTCTGATTGCTCGGAATTTCTTTACAAGTTTTAAAAATAGCCGTTCAACGTTAGTGTGTGCATACCACAGAAAGGCTATAAATGAACTGCCCTTCTCTCGTCCTTGCATTTTAAATCAACCTGGGACCTTTATTCTTTGCTCTTCGCACTATGTGTCATATTTAAATGGATGCCATTTGTTATTGCCTAAAATAGCTTTAGCTTGCCCATAATCTTGGAAAAAGCAGACAAGATGATTAAGCAAGTGATTCACAGAGGAAATAACATGCTTCTCGTTGAGAGACCCTTTTTTATGCACAGAGTACTTAACATATGGAAAGCATGGCTTAAATTTGAAAAAAAATGCATTTAGGGAGTTTGAAAATACACAAACCTTTCTGAGTTCATAGAGGGTATCTTATGAGCCATACTGATAAATTACATACATGTGAGGCACTTCTTGTCATTATATAGGCTCTGAAATGGCTTTAATTTTGGTTAATTTGCTTACGTAGTATCCCAGGTTCAAACACAACTTCACAATTAATCTAGAGCATTGAAGTAAATAGAACAGGCAGCTGGAGTAATTAGATCTCACCTTACTCCGTGGATGTAATTTATTATAATATCAATAATATTTTATAATTGAATTGAGGTGTTATTTAAATAACATAATAAATATTGAACAACATTATTAATATCAGTCAAAAATGTTTCATAAAAATCTCTATAGACACCATGACAGAGAAAAATAGCTAGAAAACCATTGAATAATTTGGAGTATTCTTCATTGGCACTGGGGTTGAATTACAGAGTAGATTCTGGCAAATAAGATTGGTAATTTTTTTTTAATTTTTAGTTTTCACTTTCACAAGATTTTGAGTTCCAAATTTTCTCCCCATCTCATCCCTCCCCCCACCCCAAGATGGCATGCATTCTGTATACCCCTTCCCCTAATCTTCCCTCCCTTCTATCTTTACCCCACTTCTCTTATCCCCTTCCCTTTCTATTTTCCTGTAGGGCAGAATAGATTTCTATACCCCATTTCCTGTATTTCTTATTTCCCAGCTGCCTGTGAAAACAATTTTTTTAACATGTCTTTTTAAAACTTTGAGTTACAAATTTTCTCCTTTCCTTCTTCCCCACCCACTCTCATTGAAAAGGCAAGCAACTCACAGGTTATACATGTGTAGTCATGCAAAACACTTCCACAGTATTCAAGTTGTGAAAAACTAAATATATTTCCCTTCATCTTATCCCGACCCCCCCCCATTTATTTTATTCTCCCTTTTGACCCTGGCCATCCTCAGAAAGGTTTGCTTCTAATTACTTCCTCCCCCAATCTGCCCTCCCCTCTAGCATTCCCCTGCTCTCTTGTCCCCTTCTCCCCTCTATTTTCCTGTTGGGTAAGTTAGATTTCCATACCCAATTGAGTGTGTATGTTATTCCCTCCTTAAGCCAAATCTGATGAGAATAAGATTCACTCATTCCCTCTCACCTTCCCCTATATCCCCTCCACTGTAAAAGCCTTTTCTTGTCTGTTTCACACGAGATAATTTACCCCATTCTACCTCTCCCTTTCTCCTTCACCCGGTATAATCCTCTCTCACCCCTTAATTTTGTTTTCCAGAAAGACTGGTAATTTTTTACTGTGCCTGTCTAGAAAGTATCACATTCTTATGAATTTTTATAAAATACAATAAGATAAGGGCTGTTGGAAATGGTAGGTTTATAAGGTTGATTACTATGGCTTTGTACATATCTTAAAATTTTTGCTAGGTATGTATGTGTGGCAAAACAGCCAAGTGGATGAGCAGCTGTAACTGTGACTTGATGTACTCTAAGTTTAAAATGTCTGCTCTCCTAATGTGTCCTCAAAGTATTATAAACTATGGTTTGATTGTTATACTCATTTAAAAGAAGAAAAAAAAAGGATCCTCTCGAAGAATATTACACCAACTTCTTGAATTTCATGGAGAGAAAATAAACACATAAAAGTGGCGTACCAATTTTCAGGAAGGAGGGCAGAGTGCCATGGATGCTTCACAAAACAGATGCAAACTAGGGACTCTGAATTTGACTGGGCTGACGTTCAAAAATCCCCCTGGACCACCAGCAGTGGTGACGATCCAGACAGGACAGGCTTGGATCTGATAGGAAACTGCGCAGAAAAGCACAGCAGGCACTGTTTGAGTGCTGGCATAATTAGTGCCTTACCAAAATAAAATGGTTTCTTAAAAATAAACGTGTTAACTTACTTTTAGAACAAATCCCTGTTAGAGAAATGAATCAAATATTTATTGAATACCTAGAATGTGGAAGGCTCCATGCTAGGCTTTAAGGCAGTTTGGGATGTAGTAAAATTAGTCAAGTCAGTCAATAAGCATTTATTAAGAGCCTGCTGTATGCCAGGCACTGTGCTAAGCACTGGAGGTACAAAGAAAGATTAAAAACAAACAAACAAACAAACAGTCCTGGCTCTCAAGGAGCAAAAAGCCTAATGGAAGAGACAAAGAACTATACACAGGCAAGCTACATACAAGATAAATTGGAGATATTCAGCAGTAGGAAGACACTAGAATTAACGGAGGATTAGGAAAAGCTTTCTGTAGAAGGTGGGATGTTTGCCACTATAAAAATACCTAGCATCTAAGCAGCTGAGACCCCAAGAAGAACCTATGAATCAAGTGCAACTTGAGCATCAAGTCAACCTACTGCAAAGACCTGAAGAGACAAAGAAGAGAGAGCTGCTGTCCAATGGTTGGATGACTGACTAATTACCCCTTCTCAACTATTCTGGTTACATGAGATCATATCACTTTTGTACATACCAATTTTTCCTCCAATTTCTGTTGTTTGACGTTGACAACGTGTTCATTTGTCCCCAGTAATTTCATTTTAGCAAATGTGTTTTTATTTGGGTTTAACACTAGGAGGACCAGGCATGCAAATTTTGTTGTTGTTGTTGCTTTTTGGTGAGGCAATCGGGGTTAAGTGACTTGCCCAGGGTCACACAGCTAGTAAGTGTTGAGTATCTGAGGCTGGATTTGAACTCAGGTCCTCCTGACTCCAATGCCAGAGCTCTATCCACTG